GGCCTGTTTAAGACCTGTTTAGTCTCTGTGCCCTGAGCTCTGATTCACTTGCTCCCCTCCTCCTTGCATACGAAAGAACTTTCTGGTGGGAAATTTAGACCTACCAGCTTTTGTGGCTACACATGCCATGTCTAGCTTCAGCTTCACTAGTTCAGGTTATAGTTTATTTGTCGCCATTGCCTTTTTGTTTCTACATTTTTTTAACAGCCAGAATAAAAGGCTCGCTTTTTGTTAAACTTCATTACTCTCCCTCTTGTTTTCTACTTTTGGGTCCGCTCCTCAAACACACCGGCCACCCAGATCATAACAAATACATTATCTAAACTTAGCAGGTAGCTAGCATCCAACACAAATAACTTGACAAAATGTCTTTTTTATTTTATTGGTCAGAGTTCTGGCCTCAATAAAAGAGTGGCTACTTAGCATTGATATGTAAAACAGTTTTGAAACTGGGTTTTTGGAGACCTGTGATGTAAAATTTTCTGTCTCTAAAGCACGCAAAAATGTCCCCCCCACCCCCACCCCCACCGACCCATGTGAAAATTATAAGCAATAGCTTTAAATGACAAAAAAGTGTTTAGTAGCCCTGTATTTCGCATTGTTCAAATTTACATTAAGAGAATCTACAATGAATGTTTCAATAAATCTGTTTCAACAAACAAGTGTTATTTTCTTTTCCTTTCTCCAGTCAACAGATTCAGTGTAAATGTGTCTTTGTAAAGAATCTCTATCTGCACTGAACTTTCATACTGTAAATGAATTAAATGCCAACTTGGAATAAAGAGGAGAATGAGTAACATATCTGTTAGGAAGTTCGCAGATTGTCTGTCACAAAACTCATCACTTAAATCAATCAAAAGATTTAACCTGTTCCTCATTTGTGTAAATAAAGTTTTTATATTTTATAGGAACACAATCATTTATGACAGTTGATTCAACAGAAACTGTATCAGTTATAAAGTAAATTTATTTAGAACCACCAATCTGACACAAAGAAACGACTGAATGGGCACATTCATGTATTTATGGAACAAATAATATCTTAAAAAATGAACGCACACAAAGAATCAGTACACAGAATCACTGACCACATGATTAAGAAATGTTGTTGTAAAAGCTGATAGAAACTTTGTTTGTTTTATCAGTTCTTCACCAGTGAAGTAAATCAGCCACAAACAGACACTTTATCATTCATCATATCATATCATATACACAGTGTTGGGAAGGTTACTTTTAAAATGTATTCCATTACAGAATACAGAATACATGCCCCGAAATGTATTCTGTAACGTATTCCGTTACGTTACTCGATGAGAGTAACGTATTCTGAATACTTTGGATTACTTAATATATTATCATGCTGTTTACAACTACGTGAATGTACTATTGCTGTGATTTATTACTGTTACTGAAGGTCCGCGGCTCCGAACCGTAGTAAAGGTACCTCTGGCTAATACGTCGGTTCGCGTCGGGCTCATAGCTGAAAACTAGCTTTACTTTGTTGTCTGGGTCAACTTTGCTAGCGAGAGACAGAGAGAGGCGTTGAACGGCTGCTCCAAAGGAACTTATTGTTTCGGAGGAAAACATAAACACTGTGTACAGTCGAGTCTTAATAGCTTACTTACAACTGGGCTCGTCAGGCACTCTTCTTGGCTGCAGTGGTTATTATTATATTTACATGCTTCCAGCTCCCGTTTCTGCTTGATAACAACTGGTACTTTTCCCTTTTCTCCCTCCCTCGCTCACAGACACATAACAGGTATGGCAGTCCATTCTCCCTGCAGCACGGACTACACTGCCTATGATGCTACATTCTTTAGAGCTATACCGGTAGCATTCTGCCTATTAGCTTAGCACAACAACAGCAGGTGCTCTCTGACCCAGGAAACACGCAGAGAGAGAGCGTAACCCTGTAACCATGGCAACCGTAACGCCGCCGCCTGGAACAACAGAACGTAGCTGTCAAACAAAACCCAAACAGGCCTGACCCGCCACAATATGAAACAGGGAAGTACCGCCGTGTAATCCATTTATTTCAACAAAGTAACTGTATTCTAAATACCTCCTTTTTAAACGGTAACTGTAACGGAATACAGTTACTCATATTTTGTATTTTAAATACGTAACGGCGGTACATGTATTCCGTTACTCCCCAACACTGCATATACACAGTAACACCACAATAAGTACAGAGTCATTGTTGTGCAGCAACACCACGCTATGATGTTAGTTAACTTAAACAGTAGGTTTCACAAATATTAACATTACTTTGAATCCTATACAGATGTTTCAGTCAGCATGCAGATGTTCACACGACTGATGTCCAAGATTTTTGTCCTCCTGTTGCACTAGTTTGGACTATGATGCAGCTTGATTCATGTAGATGGTTTCTGTCTCTGGTTTGTTGAACTGTCTTGATCTAAACCAGCTTAAGAAAAAAAACAAATTGAAATGAAACTAGTTTTTGGTTCATTTTTGTAGTTATGAATAATAAAAATCTACTTAATAGACTCAAAATAGAAGTGAAATTAACCCTGTAGTCTGTAAATAGTTATAAATGACTATCATTGAAGCAGCTGACTCACCACTCAAATAAGACCAGCGTGCTCACAAGCAGTATGATTCCCACAGTCTTCACTACAATGCAGACACCAAACAGTTTTCCTGACTGTTCATCTGCAAGGCAACAAGATTTTAGAGCAACAAAAAGATGAAATAAAAGAAAATTGAACATTTCACATTAACACAGCCCCCTGAGGTGACACAACTATGATGCTTTCTATGTGGCTTTGTCCTGTTTTCTCTTCCTTTTCTTAGATACAACTAACTTGCAGCTAACTCCAGTCATCATTTTTGCCTCAGACTAGTCTTGAGGCTTAATTTTTCAGCTTATTGTAGAGTAGTGTGACTAGAAAAGTTAATATTATCACCTTCTATTATTTTGTGACCTTTTTTTTTATTGTGCATTTCTTCTTTTCATGATGAAAGTGGCTGTGCTGTGTTTTTTCAGCTAATTTAGGATAACGTTAATGTTTCTTTTATAGTTTTTTTTACCGCCCTTATGAATATAAATGTAATATAATAAATATAATAAATAATAAAAAAATTAAAATATGTTTAGAAAATGTCTGTATTTTTCTTGTCTCTTTTTTTAGCACTTTATGTAAGACAATTACTTTCTGACATCAATTTACAGTTTAACGTTGAAATATTGATGGAAAATGCATTTGATTACCACTTGAAGTTATATATGATGGTGGTCAGAGGGCCTGGTGGTGCCAGTGTTCGGCAGCCTCGCCTCTGTCAGTGCGCCCCAGGGTGGCTGTGGCT